GTCATATGTAAAAGAATCGTTTCTGGCCACTCCCACGTGAATGGCGATCAGAAAACTTTCCTCACTTGCGTGAACTTCTACACATGACTCCATCCTCCAAGATATATCAATTAAGTGATAAAATAAAAGCAAAGTCCATTTTTTGGTCTTAACTCTGATGTGATAGCGACCAAGTAAACTGTTCATCAAATCAACACCACCCATATAGCGTTGATCCTAATTACCTTGTCATCACATGGAGTATTACGTATTACTTYATTATCGCCAGCCCCTTTGAATACTTCAATTCTGTACGAAAAGCCATTCGAGTCACAAAGAACAAAAAGTTTCATGCCATATTAATGGGGCTTTGCGGGCACATATTGTCGAAATTTTGTCAACATTTTTGTTGAACACATTTGTTCATCAATGCACAACCGAGCTGTTTTTGGCACAGAATCAAATTGCATATTGAGTCTATCAATAAGTGGACAAATTTTATACAGCTCATCAAATCCTGCTTCCTGTGGTTTTTTAATTTTTTTGGTATCATTGAAGTGAAGATATTTTCTGATTGAAAAGAACTGTATGGAAGTCATTGCGTTTCTAACTGGTTCGAAAGAATGTTTGGACCAGTAACTCTCGATACTGGGATATCGGTACACAGACATATAAATCAAAACTCCGATATATTTTTTTAAATCACATGATGTCAAAATAAAGTTTTTAGAAAAAATTTGCTGTTTTGCATACAAATTGCTCTGATATACAATTTCATTTTGTAAGTGGTGTGGATAATTCTTTGAATTGTTGCGCCAATTCCTTGTCTCCTTGAAAAACTACATCATTTTTTTCAAGTTCAAAGTGAAGGGAAATATCTTTTATATTTCAGCTAAACCCCCCGCATTGGATACTACTGGACTTTCACCAGCTTCAGTTTCTGGTAGAGGGGATAGTGCCCTTTTTGTTTTCCCAGTTTTGGTGGTAAAGACACGTCAGACTGCTCCACATTCTTATGCACTTCTGCCAGATGTTTTTCTGAGTTTCTACAGATATTTTCAAAATCGATGTTATTTGCATTATCCCACTCTTCTTGAAATGTAGCAAAGTCTTCGTTTGGTAATTGAAAGTCTGGGCCTTCCAAATCATCATTATCGTGCGCGCCATCCACCCATTCAGCCATGAGTTCTTCATTTTCTTCATCAATTAATTTTGAGAAATTAAAACTTTTTCTTTGTGAAAACATTTTCAAACTGCTGATTGTTTCCCAGAATGTTTAAAACCCAAAAATGTTTAAAGAAAAATGAAATGATAAAGAAAATGGACTAGAGCCACGTGTATGCAAAATTTGCTTTTAACCGGCAGATCCGCGTTTAGACGGTGTTAAATTTTCACCGGATACAAACAAAGTTTTGCTAAAAACTTAACAATAAAGCACAAAACATAAAAGAATATATATTTATTTACCTATATAAGACAAATTTTTTTTACGCAAATCATGAATTTTAACGAATTTATACTATTTTAAAAACTTCACTCGATACATAAATAATTATTTTACACACTTTGTCAAAAAATTGACTTTAGATTTTAACGTCTAAAAACAGGCTCGCCGGTTACAGGGTTAAAGTTCAAAAATTCAACTATTTAAAATGCGTGTTTCTCCCATTTATAACGAGTTTTATAGTTATGTTTTAAACTTTTATGTCCACTAACACTTCACTAATTCGTTTCTAGTCATTTATTTTATATTAAATAAAGGTAATTTTTAGCATCCCCCGATTTCGGGATTAAAATGGGTATCTACGGATAGAGGTGGTCCTCGAGGTCAAGAATATACATACATATAGTTGCCGCTGAGTTATGGTTTTTGAAATATTTGCGTTTAAAGTTTAAAAATTCAACTATTTAAAACGAGTGTTTCTCCGATTTATAATGAATTTTATACTTATATAATATTTTTATATCCACTAACACTTCATTATTTCGTTTCTAATCATTTATTTTATATTAAATAGTGCAACAACTTTAATTCTATATCAAACTAAACAAGCAAAAAATTAGTATTACCATATTTTGTAATGGAATAAATAGAAGAAAAAATAAGGATTATGACTAAATTCATTATCGTGTGATGAGTAATATAAAATCTTTCAGCATTCTAATTATCTTGATAAGTTCCGAAGGCCGCCGCAAAAGTGAGTTCAACGCGAAAGAACTGAGCACGCCCGACCGAGGGCTGATAACACAGTACAACAGCTAATATGGGGCGTGAGAAATTCCAAGTCAGGGTGATGGTACTAGGTCAGTATAGTAAAACCCTCAAAGGGTTTGGCGTTAGTATGTGTCAGTTTTTTTTTATGATCTTATGACCCCTGTTTTCCTTATCTTGATGTTTTTTAGCTTAGTTGTAACATTTTGGCCAAAACCCAAAAAAAAAAAAGAAAAAAAAAAAAACAATTTCCGAGAATGCTCTTAACATCCTTGCGACAGAAACATCGTAGTTGTTAGAACGATGCTTGTTGTTTTTTTGTTTTTTGGTTTTTACAAAATGTTACAATTAAGGGAAAAAACATCAAGATAAGGAAAACAGGGGTCATAAGGTCATAAAAAAACTGACACATACGAACGGCAAACCCTTTGAGGGTTTTACTATACTGACCTAGTACCATCACCCTGACTTCGAATTTCTCACCCCCAGACAATAATCCCAAATGTAACTAATGTGTTATACTTGTGTATTTCCTGTCATTGGGGTACTATTTGTTTTATTTATTTCTCTTGGTTTTTCTGTAAACTATCAACTTAAGGTAGCACTGATTATTAGTTAGAATACAAACCTTTTTGTGTGATCAAAAATAGTTGAATAACAGTTAAATGTTGAATAAGTTACCTCCTCTGTCCGGGGTATGTCTGGATGGGGAGTTTCTGCAGAGTAGGAATATTCAAAAAGAAAGTTACCAACACTTGTATTTTTCAAAATATTTGCGATTAAAAATTTAAAAATTTGTATTAATAACACTTAGTATTTTACAACGTTTCACAAAATTTTTTTACATTTTTCACCGTATATTTAAATATACACTCGAAACATTGAAATAAGTTTCAATTTAACCTAAATTGGTTAATTTAAAAATCACTTAGCATACTCATCGTTGAAAAGGTTAGATTGCTTACAATTATGAGGAAAACGAGCGTTGCCACATCTTAAACAATAAATATGATTTTAAAGATTTTTCAAGCTATAATTTGGTTGTGCAAAATATATAATATGTGATTTATATTTATTATCCAAATATAAGAAAAACTCTATGATAATATTATAAAATTTGTATTTTATCGGGGTGACTGAAGTACTTTCGCGTAGTWTTTTAAGTTTAAGTTTAATATTAATTAGTTGTTGATTATGATGAAAATATCCATACGCATTTAAAGATTCTTTATACTCATCTTAATTTGAAATATAATTGATAGACGCTTGTTTTTATTAGAACTAAGATTGCTAAATAAAGAAAGAGGAATTATATCGAAACAGAGAAATTCAGCGAATTTTATAATATATAATATATAGATTTCTTACTTATAAAACCTGCAAAAAGTGTAAATTGTGAATTTATTTAAATATTTACAGTTTAATTAAATGAATTTGAAGTGAAAATGTGCAAAAAGTGTTTTAAATGTAGGGAAATAACTTGTTGAAATATTAGAATAGAACCTATAACCTTCAGATCGCGGCGCCAAAAAATCGGAGTTGTGCCATTTAGAGGATATGAAATTGCAAAATATAAGAACAATTTATTTAAATAAAAAAAAATATACGTTTTTGACATAGTGGTAATTTTTAAATTTAAACGCAAATATCTCCCAAACTAATGAATGAATGAATGAATGATGATGAGGAATGCTTTGCGATCTTTGGTCTATTGTGCCCTCTCTTTACTTACATTGACTCGCTTAGCCCCAGCCCATTAATGAAGTCCAGTAGATTGCTTGGCGCTAGCGAGGCAATGCGATCCCTATCTGGAAATAGAACTCCAAGGGCCTAGGCTCTGCGACTACAGACTGCTGTGCAGTCGTTCGGCAGTTGGCGAAAGCTGACAGGCCCATTCTGTGCAGATGCCTATTCAGCTTACAGTGGCCAGTATACCATGCGAATAACAGCCTGAGTTTGCTCCTGGGGAGGTTTATTACTATTTTGAACCTTTTCAGGTTGTAACCTCCCATTAGCAGCTTGGCGTGTCTCATACCATGAGTTTGTCGCCAGTGCTCTTCCCTGCCTGCTCTTTCCTTTTTACGGAGCAGCTCCTTGATGGTGTGGGGACCCACTCTTGTAAAGGGCTCGGGTCCTACCAGCCTGGTGGAGGCTGCGGAGCGGGCGAGCTCGTCCGAATTAAGAATAATCTTTGGTTATTCTATAGAAATATATTTCCCTTGGATTCCTCCAAGGTTTATTTAAATTTAAATAT